TGATTCATGTTGTCACAAATACCAGAATTTCTTATTTCTTAAGGTTGAATAATCTTCCATGATAAAGATATATCACATTTTCTTTATTCATTCATCTACTTGTGGACACTTAGGTGTCTATTGTGTCTTTTGCCTATTGTGAATATTGCTGCAATGAATATGGAAGTGCAAATATGTCTGAGATACTGATTTCAATTCCTTTAGATATATACTAAGTGGTGGGGTTGCTAGATCATATAGTAAATTTATTTTAAACTTTTTGAGGTTTTCCATAATGGCTGTACCAATTTACTTTCCTACCAAGTGTGTACAAGACTTTGTATTTCTCCACTTCATCAACACTTGTTATCTTGTGACTTTGACAACAGCCTTCCTAACAGGTGTGATGTAATATCTCATTGTGGTTTTCATTTGGATTTCCCTAAGGATTAATGATGTTGAGGACCTTTTCATTCCTGTTGGACACTTGTATATCTTCTTTAGAAAAATGTCTATTCTAGTCCTTTGGGTGTTTTTTAATCAGGTTATTTGTTTTTTCTGTATTGAGTTGTAAAAGTTCCTTCTGTATTTTGGATATATGTTTTGTAAATATTTTCTCCCTTAGGTTGTCTTTTCTTTTGTTGATTGTTTATTTTGTTGTGCATAAACTTTTTAATTTAATTTGGTTGTACTTGTTTATATTTGCTTTTATTGCCTGTCCTTTTGGTGTCATATCCAAAAAATTATTGCCAAGTCCATTGTCAAGTAGATCTCCTGCAGCCAAACCTCGTTTTTCTTCTATTAGTTTTACAGCTTGAAGTCTTAAGTTTGTCTTTAATTTATTTTGAGTTAGTTTTTGTATATGGTATCAGATAAGGATTGAATTTCATTCTTTAATATATGGATATCTAGTTTTCCCAACATGATTTATTGAAAGACTATCCTTTCCTCATTGGGTATTTTTAGTACCTTTGTCAAAGATCTGTTGATTATACATGCATGGGTTTATTTCTAGGCTCCATATTCTCTGTGTTGATGTTTCTGTTTTGATGCAAGTACTATACTGTTTTGATTACTGTATCTTTGTCTTTGTATTATAATTTGAAATCAGGAACCGTGATGCTGACAGCTTTGCTCTTTCTCAAGATTGATTTAGCCATTTAAGGTCTTTTTTGGTTCTATACGATTTTCCCCCATTTCTGTGAAGAATGTCATTGGAATTTTGGTAAACATTGGATTGAATCTGTAAATCACTTTGTAGTATGAACAGTGTTAATTCTCCCAAATTCCATTTATTTGTGTCTTTTTTCAATGTCTTTTACCATTGTTTTATAGTTTTTCAGTGTACTCACCTTTCACTTTCTTGGTTAAATTTACTCACAAGTATTTAATTTTTATAGCTATTGTATATGGGATTTATTAGAATTTATTCTTCTGATACATCATTGTTAGTATATAGAAATGCTACTAATTTTTATAGGTTAATTTTATATCCTGTAACTTTACTGTATTTGGTTATTAGTTCTGACAGTTCTTTGGTGAAGTCTTCGAGGTTTTTTAATACATAGTATTATGACATCTGCAGAGATAATTTAACGTCTTCCTTTTCTATTTAGATGACTTTTATTTCTTTCTGTTTCCTAATTGCTCTGGCTATTGAATAGAAGTGGTAAGAGAAGGCATCCTTGTCTTGTTCCAGTTTTAGAGGAAATGCTTCCAGCTTTTCACCTGTATGTTTACTGTAGGCTTGTTAAATATGACCTTTATTGTGTTGGGGTACATTCCTTCTATACCTAATCAGTTGATGTTAATCTCAACAAAAGATGATATGTGTCAAATGCTTTTTCTGCATCTATTGAGATGATCATAATTTTTATCCTTTATTCTGTTAATGTGGTGTGTCATATTTATTGATTTACTTATGTTAAATTATCCTTGCATCCAAGAAATAAATCCCACTTGAGCATGGTACATAATCCTTTTAATGCACTGCTGAATTTGGTTCGCTAGTATAGAGGATTTTTGCATCTATGTTTATCAGGGATATTGCCCTGTAATTTTATTTCTTATAGTGTCCTTGTCTAGCTTTGGTATCAGGATAATGGTGGCCTTGTAAAATGAATTTGAAAGCATTCCCTCCTCTTCAACTTTTTGCAAGAGTTTGAGTAGAATTGGTATTAATTCTTTAAGTGTTTGAAAAAATTCAACAGTGAAGCCACCAGGTTTGGGTTTCTCTTTGTAGGAAGATTTTTGATTATCGATTTAATTTCCTTTCTCATTTCCATCTGTTCACATTTTCTGTTTCTTCATAGTTCAGTCTTGGTAGGTTGTAGGTTTCTAGCATTTATCTATTCTTTCTAGGTTATACAGTTTGTAGTGTTTAATTATTCATATTAGTTTCTTATAATCTTTTGTATTTCTGTATTTTTGTATCTATTATTTTATTCATTTCATTTGAATCTTCTCTCTTTTTTCCTTAGTTAGGCCAAATAATGTTTCCTTAATTTTGTTTATCTTTTCAGAAAGCCAACTTTTGATCTTTTATATTGTTTATCTTATCTCTATTTCATTTGTTTTTGCTCTGGTCTCAGCCCTTTCTCTCTTTCTTTCTCTCTCTCTCTCTCCCTTCCTTCCTTCCTACTAACTTTGGGGTTATTTTGTTTTTCTTTTTCTAGCTGTTTTATAATTACAATTGTTATATTCTGTTGATAAATTAACCCCTTCATCATTATATAATGATGTATTAGAAAGTATTTGCCTGCACTGTGGGTGCATGGGCCATATCTTTAAGACTGGAAAATTACCCAGACATTCCAAGCTGCATAAAAACACCTTAACAAAACCTTAAAACTCAACCTGATTTAAAACTTTTGATATTACTGTATACATAAAGGAAATGTAAAATTTTGCTTTATTTGAATGGTAATTACATTTTAAATCTTGAAATCAAGCCATAACTAAACCAAATATTTGGTAAATACTTTGGGAATGTCCAGAATATTTTGTCTCAGTACTTATACTGTTCTACTAAAGATAAATCTAAATCTAGCATAAATTATGATATTTTTTCTAGCTTCTGGAAGGGGTTATTAAACTTACCTTTTATATTAAAAAATTTTTTGTGGGGAGATCATGAGACCATTAGAAATTGTCTTAACATACACAGATATCACAAATTTGAGGTGGCTCAAATTTGAAATATAAAATATAAAGATCTGTATCCGTAAGAGGCAAGAGTGATATCTTTTAATGGTAGACAGTGGATGGATTTACACTGAAATTTTTGGGCTGGGCACAGTGGCTCATGACTGTAATCACAACACTTTGAAAGGTGGGAAGATTGTTTGAACTGAGGAGTTTGAAACCAGTCTGGACAACATGATGAAACACCATCTCTACAAAAGAAATTTTTTTAAAAATTAGGCAGGTGTGGTGGTGCATGCCTGTAGTTCCAGCTGCTTGGGAGGCTGAGGTGGGAGGATTGCTTGAACCTGGGAGGCAGAGATTACAGCGAATGAAGAGCATGGCACTGCACCCCAGCCTAGGTGACAGAGGAAGAGCCTGTCAAGAAAAGAGAAGAAAGAAGAGAAAGAAGAAAGAAAGAAAGAAAGAAAGAAAGAAAGAAAGAAAGAAAGAAAGAAAGAAAGAAAGAAAGAGAAAAGAAAGAAAGAAAGAAAGAAAGAAAGAAAGAAAGAAAGAAAGATAGAGAAAAGAAAGAAAGAAAGAAAGAAAGAAAGAAAGAAAGAAAGAAAGAAAGAAAGAAAGAAAAAGAAAGAAAGAAAGAAAGAAAAGAAAGAAAGAAAAGAAAGAAAGAAAGAAAGAAAGAAAGGAGGGAAGGAAGGGAAAGAAAAGGGAGAGAAGAAGAAAGAAAGAGAGAAAGAGAAAAAGAAATTTTTGAATTTAGTATGGTAAGTATTCTTCATTAAATTCATATAATTTCTTCTATAGTATATACTGTTAAAATGCTCTTTTAATAATCAATATTAATTAAATATAATTATGCATTAGCAACTTCATTTAGAAATTGAAACAAAACACAAATGCACATGAAAAGATCAATTCTTTTCAGAAAGAATAGAGTACAATCCTGATTTTTCAATAATTCAAAATCTTGCCAATATAGAGTTTTATTATAAGTCCTGATTATTATTATGCTTGGTTTGTATTAAATAAGGTAGTAAGAATAGTGACAATCTCTTTGCCTTAGCACTATCAATTTGAGATATGTATGAAGTCAGAACTATAAGAGACTAGAAGAAAAAGGAAGGTTCTTAAAAGATAATCCCTCTTACACACACTTTTACTTGTTACCCCAATAAAAATGTTAAATGGAAAATCCTAGCAATAAACAATTCATAAGTTAAATTGCCTGCCATTCTGAGTAGTGTGATGAAATTTGGGTCATCCTGTTCTGTTCCACTTGGAAAATAAATCACCCCTTTGTTCAGCATATTCAGTCTGCATATTTCATAAGCCTATTGGTAATTTAGTAGTTTTTCTGATTATCAGATCAATCATGATTGCATCACAGTGTTCACATTCAAGTAACCTTTACTTTATTTAATGATGCCCCAAAGAATATTGATGCTGGCATGTTGTCATAATTGTTCTTCATTATTAGTATTGTTAACTGTGCTTTATTTATAAATTAAACTTTATCATAAGTATGTATGCATAGGGAAAAAAAAAACCCAGCATACATAGAGTTCTGTACTACTTGTGGTTTCAGGCACTCACTACTGTGGGTCTTAGAACATATCCTCCATTGGCTGGGCTTGTTGGCTCACGCCTGTAATCTCAGCACTTTGGGAGGCCAAGGCAGGCAGATCACTTGAGGTCAGGAGTTCAAGACCAGCCTGGCCACATGATGAAACCCTGTCTCTACTAAAAATATAAAAATTAACCAGGTGTGGTGGTGCATACCTGTAATCCTAACTACTTGGGAGACTGAGGCAAGAGAATCGCTTGAACACAGGAGGTGGAGGTTGCAGTGAGCTGAGATCTCACCACTGTATTCTAGCCTGGGCAACAGAGAGACTTCATCTGAAAAAAATATATATCCTTTACAGATAAGGGGAAAATACTCTACTTTAATGATCCATTAATGTAAAACCATTTTCTCTTTTTAAAGCTTAAGAGTGTGTGTGTGTGTGTGTGTGTGTGTGTGTGTGTGTGTGTGTGTGTCTTTGTTCTCTGAACTTCTCCTCCACAGCCTTCTTAGGTCTCATCGCTCTACTTCTTTGTTCTCTACACAATGGTCAGCTTTTGGGACTAGAACGACATGTCCCACCCACCTTGGCATGCCCTGAAGTGCCTAGCATCACATTCTGCATTACTAAAATGTGTGTCTGTATGTGTGGAATAGACAACCAAATGTGATGGTTTCTCTCATGTCCATTTTATGTCCCCAGGAGTATAATATACTTCTATATCTAGACTATAAGTCCTGTATCTGTATAGGGATTATTAGTTTTTCAAAGAATTTTCATAATTATGCTCTCATTTTCATAACAATGATATGAAATAACAAGAGCAGTGTTATTACACGGTAGGAAACTGAAGCATAAACCTTTAGATACTATTACATGATTTGTCTTACTTCACAAAAACTGACAGATCTTAGGCTAAAATACATATTCTCTCCTTTTAGTCCAAGTTTGCTTCTCTTAGATACACTTGAAATGCCTTTCATAATAGTGAAAATTAAGAATTTTCTTTGCAAAAAGGAAAAAAAGAAAGATCAACCAGCTTTTAAAAAATTCATTTTGACTCAACCTTAATTGACTTAAACTTTGGTTAAACAGGAAATAACTGCAAACCCATTTGAACAAGTCATCAGTGTTCAAAATATTCGACACATATTTGATGAGTGCTGAACACTTTGCTAGACAAAGTGATAAAGTGGTAAATGTAACTGAAACCCCATACAGGAAGACCCCCTGCCATTTGCTCGTCATTGATTTAGTGTAACTACGTATAGCGCTACCTTACTAAAAAATACTATTTTCGTCACTTGCCTTTGCTTGGCTGCATGGCAACTAAATGACCAGAGTAATGCCAACCATGTCGATTCTTCCAGGGGCCTGTGACATCATGCTGTTGGAGGAGTTCAGTGCTAATAGATTTGGCTCATGGTTTCAGTTGTTTGATTTCAGTCTGGAAAAAACACAGTACAGCATAGCAAAAATAAACAATTACCAAGGTTCTGGGACACATACTAGAAATAAAGGATTTATTTTATGTTTTCATATTTTTTTCTACTGTTTTATGCCTAACCAAAATAAAATGTGCATTTCTTAAATCACAGATCCCAAGGCCAAAATAATGGTCAAGTACACCAAGGAAGCAGGAGAAAAAGGAGAAAGCCTGAAATATATCAAAGTAAAAATGAAGCTAAGTGAGATGTATATAGGTATTGCCTACTAAACAACAACATAATAGGATATCTTAAAAACAACAAAAAAGAAAATACAAAAAAAATCCCCACACACAAAACAAACAAACAAAAAATAATAGCATTACTTAGAGTAGGACTCTCTGAGGTTTTTGAACAACACCATTTTTTGTAGAAGGAAGAGATAAACCTCCAGTTCTGATTAGACTTCATAAAGAATGGGCTGGATCAGAAAGGATGTAATAAGTGGCCTTGTAGCAGGTAGATGTGATTGTATGACTAATCATAGCAAGAGCTGTTTTTTAAAATCCACGCCTGCAAGCCCCACACTTGTTTTCAGGAAGACAGAGAACCTCTGGACAAAGTGAGGCTGTAGTAGCGGCAGGTGCCTTATACATGAAGGCCGAGCTGCCACATTGCTCCCTGGAAATTCACGAACAATACTACCTAAATTTCTTATTCCCAAAATAGAAATAGGGGGTCCAAGGACAGTTCCTCTTCTAACACTGTGCTCTAACTATTTTAACCTAAGTCTCTTCATATCAGTTGCTATAATTGTCATCTTGAAACAGGACTTGCATTTCTTGCTATATATAGATAGAAGGAATGTGTATTTGGATATCAGTGTCACTTTCCTTGGAACAACAGTAGTATTCAACTAGTCCTTCACTGTTAAATCTGACCCCTCCCTGAAACTCACCCTTACCAGACAAAACCAGAGACACTGTTAGAAAAGCTAGGACTCATTTTGTTTCCCCTTTGACAAAATCCACAGGAAAGCCAACTTCCAAAAGAGGCAAATGTGGAGCATTATTACTAATGCTAGTAATAAATTACTAGCATTATGAATGGATCATTCTTTCAAATATATGAGTTGCTCAAAGTGTGTCTTATTGTGTGTGTATAAATGACTAACTACTTGAGGAATAGGCGTCATTAAAATAGTGGTGCTGTGGTCATTGTATCATCATCATCATCATCACCATCACTCCCGTACTACAGATAAATAATCTCAAAAATGTAAATAGTGCATCTACAGAAACAGTAAGTAGCAAACCAATACTTGTTCACAGGACTGTCTTCAGTAACATACTCTCATTTATTTTACCACATGGTTTTTTTTTTTTTTTTTTTTTTTTTTTTTTTTTTTTTGGCTGTTCTATCATTTTATGCATTAAACGTTTTATGGCATAGGTAGATCTGTAATAACTATTATATAAATGGATAAAGCAGGCATACTTTAATTGGTTTAAGAGCAGAAAAGTCACTGCAATATGTCAAGCCACATTTTAAAGTGTTGGGTTCACATTTTCCCATATATTTGCATTGTACTCTAAAGCTTTATGTGAATTTTCAATGTAAGTAAAATTGTATGAAATTAAAGTGTCTCACAATGCTTGTTGCTTTTTACAAGAATTTTGTATTGAACAATTCCAAATTAGATTAATAATGTTAAAATGTAGATAATGTATACAATGATCTAACTTTATCCTTGACTATTGCAATACACAGTTAATAGTGGTTTAAACATAAAATATTTCTCAGTTTGCTTTGAAGATGATTGAAACGCACCTTCTTTTATCACAGTTAAAGAGGAGTTTAGACCTCTCATTTCACATTTATGGTTTCTCAAGTTTTAAAATAAATCTGGCAAATTCACTACAATCCACATATTTATATTCATTAATGCTGAGTACAGAGAAAATATCAGAGATGAGAAGAAAAACAAAAGCACATAGTGCTCCCGGTAGCCGAATAAGTAGACAGTTTCAGGAAAAATGGAAGAATCACTGGCAGCAAATCCAACGAGGATCTGTAAAATAAGAAATGAAAATGAATATAAAATATGAAATGAGTTTATAACATGAATCAGAAAGAGGTCACTGAGACCCACAAGAAGAGTTATTTTAGTGGGGTGAAGGGGATAGAGGCCAGATGGATTTGTGAGTGCTGACAGTGACCTGGGTTAATTCAAGGCTAGCTATGTCAAAACAAATTTACTGGAAAATCAGTAACACAATAAGCTTAACTGGCTTTAAAAAGAAAAGAAAGAAAGAAAGAAAGCAAACAACCTTCCTCAATTAAAATCCTGATTTTTTTGCTTGTTTTATTAAAACGTTTGCTACTAACTTTTTTAGACTATATGTGCTCAATAACTTGACCTAATGATTCTTGATCAGATTAGATGACACTGACTGCCCTATCTCCAACTGTATATTAGACTAGCAATTATTAAACAAAAATCAAAGACAGCAAATTAGTATGACAAGAAGATTGTATTTAATGAAATTTGACCTGAATCTTAAAGATGGCCAAAGAAAAATAGTGTGTATTAAAATATGTCAAAAGTGGATTAGGGTCTGCCAAAGCAAACACTTACAGATTTGTCTCTTGAACAAACATCTTTAAAATACGTGTTAATTCTAAGCGGTTTGGTTTTGTTCTATCAGTAGGAACACTCCCTGCAGCTGAATTGGCAGATCCTTTGTTTTCATAAGAGTTCTTTGAACCAATCAGGACACAGATTATCTTATTATACCTCTGTGGGCTTGCGTTTCTTTTGATGAGAGTCTAGAGAAGTCATGGGTAATACTTTACCGTGTGCCAGAGACAGCTTGTGTTTCAGTTGTACAAGGTCAGATCTTAATTTAACCACCAACTGGATACTTAATTTTAGATACACAGAGGAACACATTGGCTCCAGGGCACTTCCTCTGATTTAGGAAGGTAAGTCCCTGGATAAGAATGACAAGATGATCATTCCAAAAGGTGAGATTATGAAATATTTGATCTTTACCTCACCAACCAGCTTATTGAATATTGTTCAGTATTGGAAATATTTTAAGCAGATCGAAATGCAAATTGTAGTAGCTATTCATTACTTTCTTTCCGGTTGACCACCTATGGGCTTACCTGTCTAGGGCCTTTTTAATTAGAGAATAAAGCTAGAATTTCTTGTTTTATAGACCATCAATTAAATTGCATAATTACTAAGCATAAAAAGTTATATCATGAGAAAAACAGATTGAGACTATCCTTATAGAACCTGTCAATATATTTACTATAGAATTCCCAGAAGGGTCTCAGCTGACCTCTTGGTTTCTGATTAAAAACAATTAAATAATTTTTGTGAATAAATACAGTAAATCTCTTTTAAGGCTTTTTCATCACTTGTTGAAAAAGATGAATGTTTTCTGGCCAGATTGAAAAACTTCTTTAAGTTAGTTAGATTAAAAAAAAAATAAACTGAATAGAATTGAGAATTTACTCCTGAAAATTATATCAGAAAACCTAAAGGTTGGAAAGTCCTTAAAATTTATTGGATATCATCACTCATATTGTTCTTAAATGTGCAGTTAACTTCTAAGGAGCCACCTGTATCTCAAATAATTTGACTTTCATGAAGTAGAGCAGTGAGGTAGACAAGAAAAATCTTATCGCTGCTTTGTGCTGAGAGCATCAAATTATTGTGATAAAAATTATAATTTTACACTTCAGTTATGGAAATGGGAATATCTTATTTTCAAATAAAAATTTTCCCACAAGCTTTATATTTCCCCTGGAGTTGTTGGATGAATTTGCTAGGTATTTGCTTAAACTTTTTGAGAAAACTTTTTCTCAGGCTTATGAATTTTTAGGTTACAAAGTAAGACCCTCTTTTCATTAAATTCCTTCAGAGTAGCTGAGTCATAGTTAGAGTATATTGGTTAAGCCTGTGTTGTCTCTATTGTCAGATGACTGGGCTATATCCCACTCTCCACTGCTCACTAGATATGTGGGTTTAGGTAAATTACCTAACTATTTTGTGCTTCAGTTTTCTCATCTGTAAAATGGGGGAGAATTATGTCGTAGACATTAAATGACATCCATTTAATGTACTTAATGTAATGCCTGTCACAGGTAAACACCCAATAGATGTTAGTTATAATAATTATTAAACTCAATATAAAAATATTTATTAAAGACCTGCTATGTGCTTGACTGTGTGCTAAACCTGAAAGAGAAATTGGTATTATTTCCAGAGAAAAATCTAAAATACATTATTTAAAGGCAGAAAACTCCCTGAGGGCATGGTTCCCATATATTTGTATCTAGCCTTGTGCCTAGAACATAACAGACATTGAATATATATTTTTGCATGGACAAATAGGATCATCTGAGCATCCTTAGGAAAAAAATAATCACTAAGGATTGGTGGGTTAATTCTTCTCCTTTGACTTTTTGATTAGCAGAGCAGAAGAACATAGTATCATAGATACTGTGCATTTGTATTTTACCAAGGTATTTGACAATATTCCTTGATGATGGTCTTGTTATCAAAAAGGAGACATTAATACTAGGTGGTGGTGTCTTTAAGAGGATTTGTAGCTGGATAGACGGCTTTTCTGGGAGGCTGCTAAATAATAGATCGACGTCAACATAGAGGCTTCTGTCCTGTGCCAATTTCTTTTCAACATTTGTCTTTATCAGTGGAGCTTAAGGACATATAGAAGGCATGCTTATTAAGTCAGCAAATAAAATAATACTTGGAGAGATAGAAAATGCATTCAATTTTAGCAGAAGGAAATAAAGGCCAAATTGAAAAAAGATAAAATATAATAAGAATAAATAGAGTCCTGCATAAAATTGCACAGAAAACGGTGTGGGGAAAACACATGATTTGTAGAATTCTTTAGATACTGGGGTCTAAATCAAGTATGTAACATGATAGCCTAAATATTAACTGAGCTTGAGCTAAATTAACAGATTTTTAGTGTTCGAGAAAAGGGAAGTGGTCACATACACTTAAACTTGTGTTGGTCTGACTGTAGCTGTTGTGCTATATTCAGAGCCTGTGGTTCGGTGTCACTTTTAGAAAGCCATGGATAAACCAATGTGTTTACAGGAAAGCAATCAAGACGGTGCAGGAGGTGAAACCATGTTATAGGAAGAGCAGTTGTACAGGCTTAGAAAGAAAAGGCTCAGTGGAGACCTGACAGCCTTCCTGGGGGATATTTAAAGGGCTCCTGTGTTGCAGAGGAACAATACTTTCTCAGTGTAGCTGTGAGAAAGAGACCTAGAAACTGTTAGAAGAGAATTAGAAACATTATCTTCAGATAATATTTTGAAGGGGTGGATTCAACTTCACTGGTTTTTCTAATTGTTAATGCTGGCTAGGCTGGGTGCAGTGGCTCATGCCTATAATCCCAGCACTTTCGGAGGCTGATGGGGGAAGATCACCTGAGGTCAGAAGTTCAAGACCAGCCTGACCAACATGGTGAAACCCCGTCTCTACTAAAAATACAAAAATTAGCTGGGCATAGTGGCAGGTGTCTGTAATCCCAGCTACTCAGGAGGCTGGGTAGGAGAATCGCTTGAACCTGGGAGGCAGATGTTGTAGTGAGCTGAGATTGCACCATTGCTTCCAGCCTGGGCGACAGAGGGAGACTCCGTCTAAAAAAACACCAAAAAACAAACAAACAAAAAACCTGGCTAAAGGAGTAGCGCCATGGAGATAGCAAGCTCCCTGACACTTTGATGTTCAAGCTGAGGCTACCAATTACTTGCTGGGCAGGTTGTAAATAAGATTTACAGGTAGGGCTATACCTGATGAAATTTGGTGATTCTAGGGAAAAGGAGGGAGAAGAAAATAAAACGGGCGTGTCAGATTGACTGTTCAAGAGTGAGGAATGAAACTAAAACTTTTAAAAAATACTAGCATCCTACTTTTTCATTCCACAGGAGTTCAATCACAGAGTAATAACAGGCAATGTTTACTGACTATTTGTGACACACCAGACACAGTTAACCAGGCAGCTAATGCAGGCAGGTCAGGGTTTGAACAAAGATTCAACCATTACAATCAGCTGCTTCCAACAGAAGGAAATCAATGGCCTGTATATGATTTCAAACAAGATATGAAAAAATGCAGTGACTCATTATTATTTGAATCCATTTTGAAGGGGAAAACATTTGACTTGAGCAACAGACAGGATTGTTTGCCATGTTGAACAAAATACATTATGCCAGGAATGAATTTTTTAGAGAGAATATATGTATGTGTATATGAATATTTATATGTATATACATAAGAATAATGTTTTTTTAAATGCTCAACACTCCTAATCATTAGAAAAATGCAAATCAAAACCACAGTGAGATACCATCTCACACACCAGTCAGAATGGCTACTATGAAAACGTCAAAAAATAACAGATGCTGGTGAAGTTATGGAGAAAAGGAAATGCTTATCCAATGCTGGTGGGAATGTAAATTAGTTCAGCCACTATGGAAAACAGTTTGGTGATTTCGCACATAACTTAAAGCAGAATTACCATTCGATCCAGCAATCGCATTATTGGATAGATACCCAAAAGAATATAAATCATTGTACCATAAACATACATGCACGCTTCACTGCAGCATTGCTCACAACAGCAAAGACATGGGATCAACCTAAATGCACAATGACAGTAGACTGGATAAAGATAATGTTGCACATATACACCACGGAATACTAGCCAGCCATAAAAAAGAATGAGATCATGTCCTTTGCAGCAACATGGATGGAGCTGTAGGCCATTATCCTAAGAAAATTAACACAGGAACAGAAAACCAAATACCCCATGTTCTCACTCATAACTGGGAGCTAAACTTTGCGTACATATGAACACAAAGAAGGGAACAACAGATACCAGGACCTACTTGAGGGTCGAAGGTAGGAGGAGGGAAAGGATAGAAAAACTACCTATGAGGTACGATGCTTATTACCTGGATGACAAAATACTCTGTACACCAAACTCTTGCAATATGCAATTTACCTATATAACAAACCTAAGATAAAACTTAAAATGAAAGTTAAAAAATAATACTTTTTAAAAGTCTAGAGATATTATTATTATTATTATTATTATTGAGATGGAGTCTCACTCTGCCACCAAGCTGGAGTGCAATGGCATGATCTCGGCTCACTGCAACCTCCCTCTCCCTGGTTCAAGCGATTCTCCTGACTCAGCCTCCCAAGTAGCTGGGATTACAGGTACGCACCACCATGCCCAACCAATTTTTGTATTTTTAGTAGCAACGGGGTTTCACCGTGTTGGCCTCGATGGTCTTGATCTCCTGACCTCTTGATCCACCCGCCTTGGCCTCCCAAAGTGCTGGGATTACAGGTGTGAGCCACCATGCTCGGCCGAGATATTATCTTTATTGTTACTACAGCTAATCAATGTAGTCAAAATATTTTTTACTCACACTACAACTCAATTGTGCAAACCAAAAGTAGCTTTTTTATTGTCTGTAACTGGCCAAACCTTTCTCAGGAGCTGCCACTCACTAATAAATGGAAAATAAACTTTTGGTTTCATACAGACAGACACAATAACTTACGTAATGAAGCCTCTGCCTGGGTGATTCAGGTAATGAATTGCTCTTTCAATTTTCTGCTCCTTCCCAAGCCAAGAAACTCTCCCCACCAAGTTCTACTTGCTTTCCTGTACATGTAGGCAATCTTCTGTCTTCTCGAGATCACCAAGGTTCCTGGCCTGCTCAGCCCTGAGAGGTAGATTCCAAGCTAATTTCCTGAGAGGGCTTTGTAAGTTTTGCCTCTGTAAAGTCCATCTTAGTTCCCTTTTCTTGTTGTTATTGGTGGTGAAAACTTTAAAATCTATGCCCTTAGCAAATTTCAAGTATTCAATACAATATTGTTAACTACAGTTCCATTGTCATACATTAGATTTCCAGAATTTATTTATCCTGGTTAACTGAAACTTGTACCCCTTGGCCAGCATCTCCTAGCCCCTGGCAACCAACATGCTACTCTTTTTTTCTATGACTTCAACTTTTTAGATTCCAAAAATAAATATCTCAATATTTGTCTTTCTGTACCTGGTTTATTTCATTTAGCATAGTGTCCTCTAGATTGATCCATGTTGTCACAAATGGCAAGATTCTCTTCTTTTTTTAAGGCTAAGAGTCCATTGTAAATACACAGCATATTTTCTTCATTTATTTATCTGTCAATGGACATTGAGGTTGTTTCTATATCTTGACTACTGTAAATAATGCTGCAACTAATATGGAACTGCATATATCTCTGTGAGAAAGTGATTTCAATCCCTTTGAATATATACCCAGAAGTGAGATTGCTGGATCATAAGGTAGTTCTATTTTTAAATTTTTGAGAAAGCTTCATACTGCTTGTTACAATGGCTGCACCCCAGGAAAGGATAAACTATGTGAGAGAATGGATAGTTTACTTAGCTTGATTTGTGGTGAATATTTCACAATGTATACATGTCAAATCATCAAGTTGTACATGGTAAATATATATAATTTTAATTGTCAACTATATTTCAATAAAGTTGGGAGAAAAATCCGTCTTAGTTTCTTAAAAGTGGTTAGTCATATTTGGTTAAATAAACATCATACTTAAACTGACACTTTACATAGAACATTAAATATTCTTTCAAGTATATGAAAATTTTTTTTTTTGAGACAGAGTCTCGCTCTGTCACCAGACTGGAGTACAGTGGCACACTCTTAGCTCACTGCAATCTCTGCCTCCTGGATTCAGGCAATTCCCCTGACCCAGACTCCTGAGTAGCTGAGACTACAGGCACGCACCACCATGCCTGGGAAATTTTTTGTATTTTAGTAGAGATGGGGTTTCACCGTGTTGGCCAGGATGGTCTCGATCTCCTGCCTTGGCCTCGCAAAGTGCTGGGATTACAGGCGTGAACCACAGCGCCCAGCCAAGTACATGAATTTTAATAACTGTATAGTATTACATTTTTTATGTGTATGATAATGTCTTAGACAAATTTCCCATTTTGGGACATTTATGTTGTTTCTAATATTTTGACAATTTAAACAGATGAGATAAACATTCTTACATATACATCTTTTTTTACATCTCTGATTATTTCTTTTATTTACTTACTTACTTAGTTTTTGAGACAGAGTCTTGATTAATCACCCAGGCTGGAGTGCAGTGGCATGAATTTGGCTCACTGCAGCCTCGATCTTCTAGGCTCAAGCGATCCTCTTGCCTCAGCCCCCCCAAGTAGCTGGTACTACAGATGCACATCACCACATCTGATTAATTTTTGTATTCTTTGTAGAGATGAGGTTTCACCATGTTCCCAGGCTGGTCTCAAAGTCCTGAGCTCAGGCAATCTACCCATCTCAGCCTCCCAAAGTGCTGGGATTACAGGCGAGAGCCACCAAGCCTGGCCTTCTGATTACTTCTATAAGACAGATTCCTAGATGTAGAATTACAGACAAAGGATAGGGATTTAAAAATCATTTTATCATACTAACTTGTGATCAGGGCACGTATATTAATAAGTTGTATATTTATGGGCCTATCTTACTCTAGTCTGTTATTCTGTAAGTTTTACTCTAGACACCCACGAGTCTGTGAGTCTAAACTCCTTTCTAAACCATTGTGAGTGTAGTCCTCAAAAGCTAACATGCATCTTCCCAAAGTTCTAATTAAATCTGACTTGGAAATCAATAGCAAAAATTTCTTTTTTCTCTATTTTTTCTTATTGCTTTTATTTTATTTTTACTAGTCCTAATACTAAGTTCATTAAAAGTTTTTGCTTTTGTAATATGAAACTAGAGATAAGAAAACCTAGTAAACAGGTTCTATCATTAGTATATTTACGTAGAAAATAAGCATCAATCCGTGAAGCCACAAAATTTGAAGAGAATTCAGCAAAAATATATCCATGACCTATAGAGGAAACACAAGGCTAATTTTAAGAGTTGTGTTTGTTTAATAATAGTTTGTTTATTTAGTAAATCCTGAATTTTTAGCACATGCCAGATATCATGTTTAGTTTCTACAGACCATTTTGCCTTTTATATCTTTTTCTAAAATGGTGAGTTGTGTTTCTTTGAAGTAACATAAAAGTAGCATTTGTTTTTTGTACTAAGATTGTTCATCTGTGTGTGTGCATGTTTTCAATTTATCAAAAGAACATACTGTGCTGTTAAGAAAGATGCTACTTAAACTGATCTGGTTCCCCGCATCACGCATAGGATTTCTCTCTAGTAGAAAAAGCAAATACCATAAAGAAGGAATTGCTGTAACTTATTGCTTGTAAGTAAAAGTTACCTGTGACTGTGGGATAAAACCTAATTCTGACAGAGTTACACGTCTCTCTGAAATTTTTGGGGGACTAGTTGATTCTGTTGTTTAAATCATCCTAACGAATCCATTCACATGATTTGCCACTTTGAGCTATGCAATTCTTAAAAAATAAGTGTTCAGCCACCAAATAAAAAGCAAAGTTGTAACAGAATTTTGTTTTGTTTACTTATTTCTCCACATCTTTAAAAGTATGCAGATAAATGATCAAAGTACATAAAAATGAGAATTAGCATTGTTTTGTATATGACAACTGTATTTTTTTGACAGTACCAAAAAAAAAAAACACACACAAAAAAAACCAAGAAAATATCTTTTAACTTTTGCCATCCCTCTGATAGGATAAATCCTGATGATTCTCTCAGGGACCTCCAGTAGATAAGCTCAACACTCAAGAACCACTGCAGTTTCAAGGTAAAAGAAGAATTCTCATGGCATCAGTGTCCCCCATTCCACACAGCAGAAACTTATATCTCCTTTAGAACCCCAGGGTTTCTATCTGGGCTGGCCTTGGATAAAATCTTAAAGAAAACCAAATTTTACTGAATGCCCTTTTCTTGTCCCTTCTTATCACCCCCCACTAGAACCTGGCCTTAGACTTTCTGCCATGTTCCCAGCCTCATGGTAGGTACTCCAGTAACTATCCCAAGAGATCTTGGTTCTAAATTAGGAGCCAATATGTTGCTATCTAAATTTTAAAAGGGACACTGGAAGATGGAACAATAGGCCCTAAAGGACAGAATCTCTTGCTGATGCAATAGAATGACACTGATGTGACAGGTGCTAGGGGCAGTGTGTTATTTATGGACACAGAGCCCTTCATTGCACTGTGGAAGCAACTGTCCACTCTGCATACTCTCAAGGCCAGCCTTGCTTAGGACTCATAGAGATGGTTTTAATTTTGTGATGCCCAAGACAGAGTGTGAGGGTAGATGGGGTAAACAGATCTGTATGTAAGCAGGAGTAAACCAACTAAACAATTCACGAGGAACAAAGTTGTATTCATCCTTGTTAAGGGAAATGAAGAACCTTGGTTCTGTGCTGTGGGAGCTACTGTATTTCAAAGGAAGCTCCTATGGGTGTCAAAAATTTATCAACTACCTTTACAGGAAGGCATTAGCTCAGATCATGGTTTGGAGGCAGTATAGCAAAACCGAGGCAAAGAGGTGTCGTATGCTCATGTTCACTCCAGCATCATACCTTGCAACATTACCAACCTCCTGACCACATCAGTCAGGCACAGACTGATATGTTGATTCTGTGGTTTAGACCATGATGTTTAGACTCCAAGGCAAAAAGTACAGAATGAAGGTAAGCTTAGGACACCTCAGACCACCCTAAGTAACATAAAGCCTTATTGCATGGAGTCAAAGAAAAAGATTTATGTGTCCCTGGAAGCTATTTTTTATTTTTGGAAGCGATTGTCATCAAAAGCTGGCTGTTAAAAGCAAGATCACGGTGTTTTCTTTTAAAGGCAACACACTGTGAGATATTTTCCTCTAACTTCTGAAAGACCTTAAAAGTGAAGGTATGCCTGCCTGGTCCAGAGTCTACTTATTAGTTCTAGGACATTTGGTGGGTCTTTTAACCTCTTGAATCTGTAATACCTGTAATTTATAGAATTGGAATGAGGATTTAAAACAAGGTAGTATATACAAAATGTTTTACACAGTGCTTGAAACTAAGCAAGCACTTGATAACTTATGATTATTACTACTATTGCCAAATGTATTAAAAATTTTACATGATAACCAAACTTTCCCTTTTCTCACTAACTGAATTAAGGATTTAACTTAGCCTATCTGTAAAATAAACTAACACTTATTGATAATTGAGGAATATATTTGGCATTTAGCATTTAGGGATCCTTAATTCAGTGGTTCTTTACCAGGAGAACAGAAAAAAATCTCTGAGATTCCATAAGTTCCCTAAAATTGCATGCAAAATTTGGAGTGGATGGGTGTCCCTCTGAAGGGAGAATCCATAGCTTTCATCAAATGTTTTCATGACCCTAGGCAAGGTTAACCAGTACTTTAAATGAAGAGGCTGATTGTAAAATATGATTGTATCAGTTACTTTGTAAATCAGCTACTTATGGAGAACAAATGATTTCTCTAGCGGTCTTCCCTGGAAGAAGATTGAATATTAAATGGCAAATTATTATTAAGAGTCAATTTCTCTAGGCTGGGAGTGGTGGTTCAGGCCTATAATCCTAGCGCTTTTGGAGGCTGAGGCGGGTGGATCACCTGAGATCAGGAGTTCAAGACCAGCCTGCCCAACATGGTGAAACCCTGTTGCTACTAAAAATATAAAAATCAGCAGGGCATGGTGGCAGGTGATTATAATCCCAGCTACTCAGAAGGCTAAGACAGGAGAATTGCTTGAACCTGTTGGGATGGAGGTTGCAGTGAGCCAAAATCATGCCATTTCACTCTAGCCTGAGCAAAAAAGCAAAACTCCATCACAAAAAAAAAAAAGAAAGAAATCAATTTCTCTAGACTGAGAAGTGGGACACCCATACATAGATCTTAAAGATGTCAGAATATTGTCTGTCTGGCCTTTCCTCATGCTTCTGAATGGTGCTTTATATAAACCATTTCCCATAAACTATTCCTGGCCCTCAGGTGAGATGAGTCCTAGATACTTTAGATGTGTGGTTTGGACAAATCAGTTACTCTCCTCTTGCCTTTATCATTGTGTCTTGATGTCTTTAGGTCTATTCCAGTAATGCTCCTGTGACCGGCTGTCTGGCACCTTAGTACTCCTCCATGTAGATCTTCACTTCATCCCAACCTTTCAGGAAAAGGCTGAAGACACCTGGGCTGAATTGGAGTTGTTCTGCATAGTAAGAGTGTTCCCATCGTTTTCACCCTACCCTCATTAGAGATACAAAACAGTTAAGAACCTCGGTAACTTCCTTTGTGATAGTAGTTAAAAATTNAAAAAAAAAAAAAAAACCATTAAAATAAAAAACTTTACATAGGCCGGCTCAGTTCTCTGTGAAGCCTGTGCTATCTCATACACTGAAAGCCCAAATTTCAGACAGGGTTAGTTTAATCTGGTGATTTAAACAGGTGAAAGGCTCCGTATCCTCTTACTAATCCCAGAGCCATACAATCCCCCTGCCACCTCAGTAATATCACCGAAAAAGTCAGCAGGCAAGGCCACGGGTTGAACTTTGTCATCTACTGGTGCTGGCTGACGAACTCAGTGCTTGTCTGCTAGTAATGAGTCAACAACTTTTATTCCAGTGACCACTGAGAGCAGCTGTTTGCTATAGTTGACAAGGAGTAGGAACAGAGGGAAGAGGTAGAAAGAAAAACGAGAAGAGATTTTGTTTCCCCTCAGAAAACTAATGGTCCAAGTGAAAACACAAGCACAAGTATGTAAAGAACTTGTAAGGCAAATGCAGAATGAGTTGAGTATAAACCCAGACATTGGAAAAATATTACATAAGAGGAGATATTCACAGATGAAGACGGCTGGAGAGGAACTGAAGAATTACACCAAGGGCTTCCATAGGAGGACTGTCTTGTGCCAGCCTTGATACAGTGCGAGCCATGGGTGGGGGAAGCTGGGATGGCCTCATGAATGAAGAGGAATATGATACAAAAGAACAAAAGAGAGACAATGAAACCAGGTACAGAGTGAACAATCAAATTTGTTTAGTTGATAAACACAACAACTCCATATCCAAAGGAAACGGTCACTTCTGAGAACAAAGAAGAGCCTGGATTATGTTTCAGTGCTCATTCATTCATTCATTCATTCAACAAATATTTAGAGAAAATGAACCAGGAGATGATGCTTCTCTTGGCACTGAGGGCATAGACTAATTCCCTGCTTTTACATTCTAAGGAGAGGAGACAGACAATGACTAAATAAACAGTAAATGAAAAGCAAAATACCATTTACATCTACTTGGTGAATAAGATCCCTAGGGTGCCTTTTAAGGAGACTGAGATACCACAGTGTGAGGGAACGTTCCTGGTGGAGCATGGTGACTATCTCGTGTGTGGTCTCTGAACACTGGCACTATTCTATACCTTTTCTTCTGAGGTGATATTAAGGCTACTGCTATAGAACAATGAACAACTAAATCGTAATATTGCCGTTGAGTTCATGCACAGTCTGTCCACAGGTTAGAGGCCTTGGCTGTTAGCGGGTATAAAGTTTGAGATTATCCAGCCTTGGAGAAGAATGAGAAGAGGTAAAAAATGTGTCAACTATGTTTTGGAAATTGCCTGCAGAACACTCTTTTGTTTCCCTCTCCTTGAGAAGACATACTATAAAATAAAATTTCATATAGAGACTATAAAAGGCTTGTATTTGCCAGTCAACTCAGTTACAGAAATATTTTGATTTCTATATTTACTAAATTTCCTCTCTAAATAAGATAAAGCAATTGATTCAATAGTAAATAGTAAAATAGTAAATTCATTCAAATAGTAAATAGTAAATTCAAATAGTAAAGAGTAAAATAGTAAATTCATTCTTCTAATTTGATATTTGGGAGAAATAAGCAAATGAAGAACAATCTACATTTTTCTGTATTATCTTCAGGGAGATGGGCCAGTCAAGAGCAGGGCTTGTAATAGAACTGATAAGGGAGTGAATGGGGACTCTATAGGAGGGCTGGTTTCTGGTCTATGGATGGAGTTTAAATGGTCCTTACCAGGAGACCAGTCAGGACTTGCAGCTGGCCATCGCTGGTTTATAAGGCATGTAAAAGGATGACTCTTCTCCATTACAGCCACTATCCATCTTATCCTCATTGTGTCGATTTGTAAGCTTTTAATATGCTATGTACACACTCTCTGAGAAAACTGGTAGACCAAAATTGGTATCAATCAGAAACTCAGGAAAAAGTGAATTCTTATAAGCCCAACTACAGTCATTATTGAAAAAAAAGTCAAAAGTTAGAAAGTGAAAATGCTCAAAGGCAGGTTATTAAAAGTTTCAACAGTTAGACCATTTAAGTTAATAAAGTGGACTCACATGTAATGTGGATTAAAATGTTACCTGCATTTGTATTTGTTAACTAGCAAAAGAAAAATGCATTTTAGTTTTTCAACATGCATTTTTGATGTTAACTCTATGTGCTGTTTTGGGTCATTTGTTAAGAACTTGTCTCTTTCAAAATTATACACAGGAATGGATACTACTGATGACCCCGATGAAGACCATCTTACAAGTTATGATATTCAGCTAAGTATTCAAGAATCCATTGAAGCCAGCAAGACTGTACTTTATCCTGAAAGGTAGTATTTAAATCAACTATCCTCAGCGAACTTTATTTATGGCATTCATTTTGTTGTAAGATAAAATAAACACCATTTCCTAATTCCTCCTCTAGGAAATTGACCTTTCCTTTCTGATGGGAATCTAGCAGCTTTCCAAGGGCCACTGTGCATAAGTTTTAGTAATCTGATCTTCCACAAATTCTCACCTCCTGTGGAAACAGGAAAAACCATATGTGGAAAATTCCTAGACGAATTCGGTGGTACAGAATTGCCTATTTTCTAAATTAATATGGATTCAAAAAAGGCAATGAGTAGTTTGAACATATTTGCAAGTACAGTTTATACAACCAATACATAGACAGGTTGGTATACAGAGGTCTGTATTCTAGAGCTCATTCTGCTACTGATTCAGCTAACCCTTTATAAGTAACATATTCCATTTTTATATGTTTAAAATATGAAGAATAATGCTAAGTCACCTAGCCTATTAGTTAATGAATGAGAGAGAGTTGTGGACTTTTTATATGACAAAGTAATATATAAACTACCACCTATTTCATTACTATCCAAATGACAAGAATTAATAAATTAAAATATGCATAACATTGATGCATTATGTAGGCTGGAGTTACTGAGTCTAAAACTACAAATGTAAATTTCTTTCTTAAAAAACATGCATTATACGTCTGAAAGAAATAAACTAATTTACTTTTACTTTTTGTTATAGTATTTAAAATCTTGTATTCTGGAATTTAGTCGTACTTTTGAATAGATCCAGTGTTCGAAAATTGTTGCTTTTGAGCTTTTAAAAAATAGACGTAGTACATTTAAATTTCTGGTCTGAAATTTCTCCCTTATCTCCAACAAGCTTTAGAACCTTAGAGCTTCCTGGAAGGCATTCACAACCCTGGTACGCTAGCAGATGTTTCTGCTTAACAGAGTTAAGTAAATTTGTTATGGAATTCCTTCTTTCCGCTTAATAAATACACACACCAGAAAGCTTTCATGAGGGTTTAAATCATGAACTGCTGGGCCAGTGATTGGGGGTTTGTTTAGTAAATGCCCTGCATGTTTTCACTTGTGGTATAGTTGATTTAAAACTCTAAAACTCTTATATGTAGTTTAGACCAAAAGCTCCCAAGTAAGTATCTTATTAGCAATTGTTAAGTTCAAAGCAATAAACATTTTTTGAGCATAGAGTTTTTATAATTGGAAAAAGCCCTAGAGATCTTTCTTTTAAGTCCATCATTTTGCAGATGAAGAACCCATGCCCAGAAAGGCTAATTGGCCTCCCCAGAATCACACAATCAGGCTATGATCTGAACCTAGCCCTTCTGGCTCTGACTCCAATTGTTTACTTCTTTTTTATTGCTTTGAGATATCTCAGAGATAGCATCGTAATCTTGTACTTTGCCATCTTCACTAATATTCTTATATCAATGCGTCATAAATAAACTCTGTATCTGACTCCCATACATTTACTTTTTTAAGTAGATAAAATCAGTTGTATGCATCTCCTTTGGATCTTGATTATTAAGTTTAAAAATTCAATATAAATTAAAATGTTTGGTTCCTTGAAATATATTACTAGTATAAATATGATCTTTCTTTATTGCATAGATTTGTACCCCTAAGCGGTCAAAACAGAAAACTTGTGGAGGCCATAAAACAAGGTAAATGGGTGTACTATCTATCTACAGTGGGATGAATTGGAGATTCCACCTTGCAAAAACAGAGATTAGTTATCATTCCATGTGTTTAATTTAGGTCACATTCTTGAGCTACAGGAGTATGTAAAATATAAATACGCAATGGATGAAGCTGATGAAAAAGGATGGTTTCCATTGCATGAAGCTGTTGTCCAACCCATTCAACAAATACTTGAGACTGTTCTGGATGGTAAGAGAACATAAAACTTGTTTGACCAAACCAGAGCAAGAATGTTGGTATGTTGATGTTATAAGTGTTTTCCATGAACATAACTAGCAGAAAGAAAAAACAGATTAAAATATTATTTGGAATTTGAAAAAGGCAGCATCTATGTTTTAAACTCAGAGTACAAAAATCAGCACTTTTTTGACATTCGGGTTTTACCTTTTGAATCCTTTTACCTGTGAATAAGACACAGGTTGGTGGAAAGATGTGGTTATCACAAAAAGGTGATAAAATTTTGTATATATCATGAATTAATTGAGTCATATATAAAACTCTTCTTTTGGAAGTCAATTTAAATTTTTTCATTTTGAACTATCTCTTGAGTTAACAGTTTCCAAATGATTCTGATATACTGCAGCAGGGAGTACTGACAATATTTGTCTTTATATTACATTGATGTTTTCATAACATAAGCATTAAAAAATATTGTGGTAAATCAAGCTAGTGTTAAATATTAACAATAACTTTTATGTTCTAACACAGTGTTTTCATATCTCAGCATCTTACAGAACACTTTGAGAGTGCCCTTTCAACTTTCACTGCTGCATGACAGCTCTATGTTCTGGGAGAGAACCATAGATACTTGATAATTAGCCAGCCATCTAGAAAGCTAGACAGCTAGACAGACAGATATAGATAATGTTGAGGATCATTTTCCCACAGTGATACCTATATTCAAGTACATTCTCATTCCCACATTCAGAGACTTCATTTGACAAAAAAAAAAAAAAAATTCAGTTACAATATAAATAATAATATGAAGGACTGAAGCATTGTTTTGTAATGTATCAAGAAATGAGACTTAGCGTGCCATTTTCAAAAAAGCAGCTAGAAACAGATTTTGCTTTTCTAGCTGTCAATTTGATTAGGAAGTCCATGTGCATTTACTTTATCCTCATTTGGTAAACTTTTGTCAAAGTCTTTTCATTTTCCTCCATTGACTTTGCTCAATCTGATGTGTATCATATTAGGTTGCTCTGATTTGTGGGATATCCTGTAAGTAAGTATTTTCTACTTTTCAACATAATGCTTTCATGTCACAGCATCCTATAAGACACTCTGGGAATTCAAGACCTGTGATGGAGAAACACCCTTGACTTTGGCAGTCAAAGCTGGTCTGGTGGAAAATGTAAGAACTTTACTAGAAAAGGGAGTATGGCCCAACACCAAAAATGACAAAGGAGAGACCCCCCTTCTGATTGGTAAATGACTTTTTTTTTTCTAGAGCTTTTATAGTTTGAAACAAATAATAAGTATTTATTGGAAACCACCATATAATGGCTAAAATTGTGATCTCAGTTCCTTCTATTCCCTGAGCTACTTGCCTAACCCCGTGTCTTCTGTCCTGTGATTTTGTTTTCCTGTTCCACAAGGATGTCAAATATGAAAGATGGCTATATCCTTCAGTATCCGGTTGTAGAGACTGCAACTAACCAGGAGGGATCTCAATTAGTTTTATGAAGCCAGAGATACCAATTTTAAAGGAATATTCTCTAGGTAGGATCCAGGTGTAAGGAGGGTTGCATGTGTAATATATAGCCAGAAGCAAGAGATGGAAAAAGATTCTAAAGAGAGACATCAAGTTCACGTCAGACTGATCAGGCCAAGCTGGAAGGAAGGGGAGCCCACAGATTCTGAGCACACAGATACAGCCCATGGCTCCTGTGCTGTATAAATACAGCATACATACAGTGTATAGAGGGGTACACTGTGACACAACAAAGGATCAATGGGAACTCTGAAGGTGACATTCACTGGCTGTCTTGTATATCCTGCTATTTGTTCAACAGTAAGAATTGGCAAGTCTGTTTGTGAAAGCAGAGAGAGATAAGATTAACTCCAAATGACCCAAAGATAACATTTCCTTTCTCTTAGGGACATAGGTGATGAAGTCAGAATTTGGTATTCGCACATGAGATCAGTGGGTTTAAATCTTAGCTGTGAATTGCAATCATGGGCCTCAGTTTTCTCATGTATAAAATGGAAATACAACACCTACCATGCAGAATTGTGATTAAAAATTAGAGAAAAAAATACATAAAAGCTCTCACATGTAATAGATGCTCAAGAAGGGAGAGCCATTATAAAGTTGTCTGTGTGTGGCAGGAGGAGGAGAGGGAAGAGGGACAGGAGGAGAGGGAGGAGAGAACGTAAGATTATTTACCAGCAATCACAGAGGAATACATTAAAAGTCATAGCTAGTTAAGAACCATCACAGCTCCTGTTCAGTGAGGAATCACTAAATAAATAAATAACCAACCAACCTAAACAACTTGAATATTAAAAAGACCTGAATATTGTTAAGCAAACTTGGATAAATCATGAACATTAGTAAAACATTTATATATGATGGCACTGATTCAACAATATCAACGCAACAAACATATATTAAGAAGTCACATTAAGCCAGAGGCTGTCTGGGCAGTGTGGATATAAAGATGAATGGATTAATCTTCCTCCTCTCAACGTCCAGGAGAAGAGCTAGATGTAATTTAAATGGAAAATTCGTGTTATAAATGCTATAATTAAGTATATATTTAAACTAAATTGGGAGAATAAAAAAGTAGTGAATCTGTGAAGCCTTCAGAGAACCTTGCTGTTGGATTGTCTTGATGGATGTATAGGGGAACGTTAGCAGACAGAGGCGTGGAAGACTCCTAGGCAGGTATTCTGCCCCGATACACCTTGCTCTATGAAAAGTGTCGCCACAGTGCGGTGTCAGTTTGGCCTGGTTCCTTCTTACCTACTCTTGCCCCATGTCAGAGCTTTCAGCCTTGACAAATTCAGATAAGATGGGAAAAGCAATCTGATCCATATACTTAGAATACAGACAAATCTGCAACAAAAACCAAAAACGGATACACAAAGCAAACAAAAAAGAATGACTTAAAGAGAAAGAAGTCATTTCTCTGACACACATTGCAGGGTGGCCCACAGTTGTCAGGGTGGCTGTATCAACATTACAGTGTGCTTCCTAGGTTACTCCCAATGTCATAATTTTCCAGGCAGCAGGATGGAGGAAAGAGGAAGCCCTAGGAAAGCATCTTCAATTTAAAAAGGTGACCTGGACAGTGCACATGGCCCTTCCACTCATATCTCATCAGGTCAGATTTTGTCACAATGACACAGCTTGGAGCAAGGGATGCCAGAGGGAGGCCGCGACATTTAGTGCCTACCTGGATGGTCTGTGGCCAGCTAAATACTTGGGGCTTCTGTGGTTAAAAGGAAAAGGGGAAGCACAAATACTGAAAAACAAATCATAGTCTCTGGATATGTTTTAGACTGCCTTTAAATCGCAGTAACATGACACTTTTCATAAATAAACCAGAACTCTTTTCCTGAGCAGGCTCTACAGACATTAAACAGAAGACGTACCTGTGGGTGTTGACTCACCACTAGTAATGTGACCTGTATTATGTAAAGGCCAGAATATGCCACAGAGTATTTGCAACAACATCTGTGTTGTTTCTATAGATCACCTTGAATTTCTGCAAAAAGAAAAGGGACAGAATTGTATACTGCTTCACTTTGCAAACAGAAAATTATTATCTACTTGTTAGTTTCAATCCACTTATTTTTAAAGGACAACTAAGCCATGATTAGCACTCCTTTGTTTTCTTTTGGCTTCATTTAAATTTTTCTTTAATGCTTAAGGCCTATAATGGAGCAGTAAACATTTACATGCATTTCAAAGTTGCATATGTTGGTTTCATTCTCTATGCTGGCAATATCTAAGGTGTAGGAAAGGAACTCTATCATTAAGTTATCAGAATTTACATAGAATTAATATTTGGAAATAATATATTTTAAAAACTAAGTGGTAATGTCAAGAGAGGACTAAAGTCTCCATGAAGTTAATATGCTGGACATGCTCATGTAAACCCTCATGAGCCACAAAACTGGGGAAGAGGGACTTTTCCTGGGTTACCTTATTCGGCACCTTTGCTGTAGAACCCATGCCAAGTCTTCATAAGTTTTATAGGAAAATGGATTATTCGTGGCGCTTACTCAGTTTGTTCTTTAATCTATGGGCTTCTTTGAGATTTCCTATTCAGAGTCCCTTAACTTGTAGCGGAGAGACACGGGGGAAAAAAGTATTTCTTCTTTTTGTCTGTACAATGTCATTTTTATTTTTCTTATTCTAATGCCATCATCCTTATCTCTATTTATGAGATATCCTGAGAGGGTCAAGAAAAAAAATCACTTTTGGTCCCTCCAGGGCCCTTATTCCTTATCAGTCATTTGGCCCTTCCTTATTTAAGGTACTTTGATACACTCTAGTCATGTTATACAGTTACTTGCTGAGTGGTAGGTATCTGATTTGTGAGGATGTGACACTTATTAAAGGTTTTTGCACTTGGACTCCTCCTCTGCCCACCCCCCTGGAGTTGGTGTCACCTTTCCCTAGTTGGATAGCCACAAGCTGATCCTGGCCAGTGGAGCCTAGAGTAAGGAGGATGCTCAGGGAACCACCTGGGATGACATCTCAGTCCCACTGCCCTCCATTCCTGATGGCCTTATGCCATCTATATGCCATGTACAGATCAGCTCATTTTGCTTCAGACATTTTCTTTTCACCAATCAATATACATCCTCTTCACTCCATTTCCTCTTTTAATCTCCCAGTCCTTGTCAAGATAATCAATAACCCTTGCCTATCATCTATGCAAAATTCTTAATCTAATTCCCTAAACTCTTCAACTTAAGGTCAGTTTTCTTTAAGCATTACTATTGAAGCTATAAATTTAAAAAATTAATAAAGAATTTGAGCATTTCTGAAGAAATTCTAAAGAATTTTAAATTCTAAATTTTAGAATTTTAAGTTCTAGAGAAAAGAATTTTATATATACTATGCAAACATATGTATATGTCCCTATGTAAAACAAGACATTTTCAACTTAGTATTTTACTTAATCAGCTTTGTTATATCAATACTGTGCCTTAATGAGTTTTCATTATTTCAGTCATTTATTGGTTAAGAATGTCTTCATGGATTAGCTTGGAAGGGGTTTCCTACCATTTGCATTATTTCTATAGGAAGTACATTCTTAATTTCAAAAAATTAAATTGGAAGTGAAGTTTTGATTTTTTTAAAACTATTTTAAGTTGAAGATGACCCATTTATGCTGTTATTTTCAAGAAGAGAAACTATTAATACGAATCAATATGTTTTCTGAGTCAGACAAAAGGTAAAAAGATTATGAGGGAAGAGGCTCATTATTTTGATACATTTTTTTTCTAATTAGAAAAACTGCCATCAGAGCAAGATCAATGAGGACACGTTTCCTTTAGTTCGTTTAGCTTACTTGATGTTTGCTTTGCAGTAACACCAGCTGGCGTGAGGTAATTCACTGTAATTAGAGCTGCCGGTGACAGTTGGGCAATTCGGAGAGAGGCATTTGTCAACAAGTTCTACTTTAGACAAGGAGCAGGAGAAAAACTGGAATCTTCTGCAGGGATGGCTTGCCTGCTCCCAAACGAAGTAGGCAAAGTTTATATTCATCCTCTCATTGCCACATTGGGAGCCGCTCTCCTTGCCTTGGCGTTAGATCCTTTCTGTGATCTGCCTCCTGGTTACTCCAGAATGTTCGACTCAGCCTCACATTTCCTTCTGTGTTTCCCAGGATAGGCCCAGACCTTGAGTCTGTCTTTCAACAGAAGGTAATAGAGGCTTCTTCTCTTGACTTTAGATCCTTTCTGCAATCTGCCTCCTGGTTACCCCAGAATGTTCGATGTAGCCTCACATCTCCCTCTGTGTTTCCCAGGATAGGCCCAGACTTTGAGTCTGTCTCTCAATAGAAGGTAGCATAGGCTTCTTCTCTAGGCTGTAAACTCTACGAGTGAGATCCAAATCTGTCTCTTCTTCTTGTGGTCCACAGTGTGTAACACAGAGCCTTTAGTAGAGCCAGCCATATTAACTGAATAATAAATGAGAGTGAATGAATGAATGAGTGAATGTAAGTGTGTACATCTTCATTTGTAGGGGGTAGCACTCATCCTATCTATTTTTCAATAGATTTTACTTACAAGAAAAAAAAGCTACATTTTAAGAATTGTATACATCTAAATGAGGACAATATCTTAATAATCCAAAAGGGGAAAAACCTTTTAACTGTATAATTTCAGCCATTACAGACAAGCAGAGAGGGACAGAGAAATCTAATTTGGTGAACTTTCTTAATTGTACTACATTAACTGCCGCTTACTTCACCCACTGGGAACAGCTAGCCTATGTAGATTCTAAACAATCTTACTAATAATCATCCATTAAAAATATAAGAAACAGAGGCCAGGTGCGGTGGCTCATGCCTCTAATCCCAGCACTTTGGGAGGCTGAGGCGGGTGGATCACCTGAGGTTGGGAGTTCAAGACAAGCCTGACCAACATGGAGAAACCCAGCCTTTATTTAAAAAATACAAAATTAGCCGGGCTTGGTGGTACATGCCTGGAATCCCGGCTACTCGGGAGGCTGAGGCAGGAGAATTACTTGAACCTAGGAGGTGGAGGTTGCAGTGAGCCGAGATTGCGCCATTGCACTCCAACCTGGGAGTGCAAGAGCAAAACTCCGTCTCGATAAATAAATAAAATAGGAAAGAGAAGTTCATTCAATACTTACTGCTATCTTTTGTGAGATTGGGGAAGTGTTTCTATAGGGGAAAAGCTGATAAACATTATTTACGTATGAGGTTCCCGGGTCCTAAGAATGATATAATGAAATAATAGTCAGTTACTGAGCTCCTGTTACATACTAGGTACTATACTGATAATTTTACATACATTATTTAATTTGTGCAATCCAACAGCAAATGTTATTTCAATTTTGTTGGTGAAGAAATTAAAGTTTAGAAAGAGAGCACACGGCATTCTATCCTAGTGATGTGTGTTATTTTCTGTGAAAATTTTACCCCTCCGTCCAGGTCTTAAAGAAAGGTAGTGTCATCTTGTAAACTTATATTTCACAAATATAAACTTGGATATGAGAAATTGGAGGGATATGAGAAATGCATTATTTTCTTTGGAGAAGAAAATACTAGCTAATATCTATTTCAATATTAAATTCAGTCATTAGTTTATACCACCTAAAGTATTTGTGTTAATATACTTACTGTTGTTTTTAAAAATCATTTTCAAGCTGTAAAAAAGGGCTCCTATGACATGGTATCTACGCTGATCAAACACAACACTAGCCTAGACCAGCCCTGTGTCAAGCGATGGTCAGCAATGCATGAAGCCGCCAAGCAAGGCCGAAAAGACATCATAGCTCTGCTGCTAAAACATGGAGGCAATGTCCACCTGAGAGATGGATTTGGAGTCACACCCTTAGGCGTTGCTGCCGAGTTTGGTCACTGTGATGTGTTAGAACATCTAATCCACAAAGGTATGTGAAAAGGAGTTACAGTTTTCTGACTTTTGTCCTGCCTCTCAAGCTCTCCTTTTCGATATTCCTCACTCTTCCTTCCCTGAATGTAACTAGGGGAGATCCTCTTCCTCTCCTGAATGGAACTTGGCATCAGGCTTTCATACCTGATCCCTCAATAGATCCTGACTCTACAACTCAGCTAAGCCCTATACCTTGTGACCTACAAATCTACAAGCCCAGTCCTGATTGCTCTCTCTAGGGACAGTTCAATCTGCATATAGATGGCTCATCAGGGCCTCGGGCTTATCTGCTCCTAAACGGAATTCCTCCTGTTTTTCTACTTTTCTGGTGTGATAATTTCTCTCATCATGATCTCTAATTCCTCCATCATAGGCTTTCTTAAATCCAATCAGTTGCAAAGTCTTGTGGTGTTTCTCTTGTCGTCTCATTACAATCTATCTGCCATCCTGGTCAGGTCCCTCAATCCTCCCTGGACCAGTGCAAATGCTTTCTAACCATTTTCTGGGTTTCTAGTCTCCCATCAGAGAATCATAGTAAATACTGCAACTTGGTTCCTCTCCCTCAAGGGCAGCTACCATAGTGTCAACTAGTCAAAAAAATAATCCCTATTACATAATCTCCAATTGTTTTACCACATTTATCCCTTACTGCTCCTATCTTGTATCCTACACTCCAGTCAAAATACACAAGCAGTATTCCCAAACGTATCTTGCATTCCTTCTCTCTGGGTTTAGGTCAGGTCTTTGCCTTCATTTCTTCAGCACAATTCAAAGTCAATCTCTTGAGACACCTCCCTGAATCCTTTCCTAATTCTTTACAACAGATTGTGACATTGCTGTCCTTTATACAACTACAGAACCATGAGTTAAGGAGACCTAACTCCTAAACTGGTTGAGCCATTATTCATGTGAGACCCTAGCCTTGTTCCTTAAATACCTGGCCCTCAGCGTCCTCATCTGCAAATGAATGCTAGCATCACATGATTCCCAGTGATTCTCTATGGGAAAAAGACTAATATTTTTGAGGTCTCCCACTATAGCCACATTTAATTATCAAATAAGCCATGTGAAGTAGGCCGTATTAATCTTTCACAGATGTGGAGTTGGAGGTGCATGGAAGTAAACAGCTTGTCCCCAGCTCTCACCATAAGCAGCAGAGCCTCTGTCCTCTACATCATGTCTCTTTGTCCTAACGTCACTGGAAAATCATACAGTTTGTACTGTCTGATATTTTGTTTCATTTCCCCTCTAAGCTCCTTAGAGTAGTCACACTCATTCATCTTAGGGTCACACACACTGATTGCACATAGAGGGCAATAAAGTATTTGTTAATACTTTATTAACTCTAAGTATTTGCTAAGTTAAAATAGAGTAGGCCGGGTACCATGGTTCATGCCTGTAATCCCAGCACTTCAGGAGGCAGAGGTGGATAGACCACTTGAGGCCTGGAGTTGGAGACCACCCTGGCCAACATGGTGAAATCCTGTGGTGGCACATGCCTGTAATCCCAGCTACTTAGGAGACTGAGGCAGGAGAACTGCTTAAACCTGGGAGGCAGAGGCTGCAGTGAGCTGATTATACCACTACACTCCAGCCTAGTCGACAGAGTGAGACTGTCTCAAAATAAAACAAAACAAAACCCAAAAAGCTATTGCCTTTCAATTAAAAAGTCTAATGAGCCTTTTTTGGAAGAATTTACCCATCATAAAAATTGATTTCGTTTCTCTCATGTTTTTTGGCCTAAAAATTTTTTAATAAAACGAAGCATGCTGCATGCATGAGTGTTGATTGAAAATATAGAAAACATGGAGGTCTTAATTCCATACTTTTTAAGTCCTAACCAGAAAGGAACTCAAGAAGTTGTTTTTTAGGGGATTGTTTAAACAATACCATCCAGTTATGATTATGCCACATGTTTTCTTCTGCCAGGTGGTGATGTGCTTGCTCTGGCGGATGATGGGGCGTCGGTGCTGTTTGAGGCAGCAGGAGGTGGCAATCCTGACTGCATTTCCCTCCTGCTGGAATATGGAGGAAGTGGAAATGTACCTAACCGAGCAGGGCATCTTCCTATACACCGAGCTGCCTATGAGGGGCATTATCTGTGAGTGATAAATTATAGGGTAATTGAGTTAAAAACGCAAATTTGTATATACAGTACAATCACAAGTCTATATATAATACCTTTCAAAATCCAAAGAGCAGGAGGTGAAATCTTCACATTTTAATGCTTCATCTTTAGCTGCTTAGAACTTTTTTGATATTCCTGTAATTCCAAAAAAATGAATTTATAGTACTTTATAATGGAAAGAAATTTTCTTTTAAAAGGAATTAAGGCATAAGTGAGAATTCTGCACAAGCCACCCAAGAATGCCTTTCTGTTTACAAATGTATTTAACAAAAGGCTACAGTTTCTAAAAATTTTGTCCTTGACAAAGGATTACAATTTGTAACAATAGTGTCAGTGTTATTCCACTTATTTCCTAATATCTCCAGGATATTATAGTATAATGTCAAATATATTCTTGAATAGAAAAGTTCCATTGTAAGTTTAGAATTCTTTATTCCATACAAATGGTTGAATAGATTCTTAAATCACAAAATGTGCATAATTAACACATTGGTAGAAGTCTAGATCACTATATTAAATTACCCACCATGAGAAGATGGTTTTAGGCAATTAAATATATTTCATAGGCTCAAAAACTTTGAAGTAATTGGGCTTTATAGTTTTCAGTGGGCCGCTGGCTAAGTGGCCAGTGATGCGTAATTGATGCTAAGTGACATGTTGTTAGAGTTTACCTGGATTTACTCCCAGTGTTCATAAATTTGCACAGTAGGCACAAGAGATCAAGTTATCCTTGCCTGTGGCTCTCATACATGTCTAGCTGGTTAGTCAAGTGTGAAATTCACAACCATATCACATGTACTTAGAAACATAAACCATGGTTGGTTATCTCAACTGGACTGATGCAAGGTTGATGGAATACTAAAGACTCTTCTTTTGGCTAATAATTCAATTGCAAGTTATATGGAAGCAGACAATGTACAAGGTCAATATTAAAAAATAGATTGCGCAGGAATCAGTGAAAGGGGAATAATTCATGAGAATTCGAAAAGGCCCAAATTCTCATCCTTGCTCTACGTCTAACTGTGTGACCTTGGGCAATCATTTTGCCTCTCCAGACTTTAGATTATTCTTCTGTTAAATGAAGCAGCTGGACTAAATGACATCCAGGGTCACTTCCTATGACCCTGTGATCCTAATGGTCAAGATTACAAAGCACTCCTCTATGGCATTAGAAAAGCTTACTTTTCTTCTATATTTTTAAAAATAGTATTGGTTGCCTGGAAATATTATATTGTTCAGAGGAGAACTGGAAGAGGGCGAGGGTTCCTGAGGAACCACAATTCTAGGACAAAACATATAAGATGCAGTGTGTTTCCCAACAACATTTAGAACAGAAAGCTAAATCAAAACTGAGCTAAATTACACTAAACTAAATAGTTGTACCTCAGTAGACAGAAGTTAAATGTTTCAGCATAAGGTTATCTAGAGAAAATAAGGGAAACTGTACAATTTGCATTCACTTACCTAACAAGAACAGTTTATTTAATTTCTTGATTTTCTTTATGGTACGTAGATATTTGACTTTTTTCTTGTAGTGCACTGAAATATCTTATCCCGGTAACATCTAAAAATGCAATTCGGAAAAGTGGGCTAACACCAATTCACTCAGCGGCAGATGGACAAAACGCACAGTGTCTAGAACTGCTCATTGAAAATGGCTTTGATGTCAATACCCTACTTGCCAACCACATTTCCCAGAGCTATGACGATGAGAGGAAGACTGCGCTGTATTTTGCCGTTTCTAATAATGACGTTCGTTGCACAGAAGTCCTTCTGGCTGCAGGTGCAGACCCAAACTTAGATCCCCTCAACTGTCTGCTTGTGGCAGTGAGGGCCAATAATTATGAAATTGTCCGGCTGCTTCTCTCCCATGGAGCTAATGTCAATTGTTACTTTATGCATGTGAATGACACTCGTTTCCCCAGTGTCATTCAGTATGCCCTAAATGACGAGGTAATGCTGAGGCTATTGCTGAATAATGGCTATCAAGTGGAGATGTGCTTTGACTGCATGCATGGTGACATCTTTGGAAATTCATTTGTGTGGTCAGAGATAGAGGAAGAGGTGCTGCCAGGATGGACATCTTGTGTAATAAAAGATAACCCGGTGAGTTATGCCTTATCTGCTTTATATTGGGTCATCAAGCTAATTTAGTACACATTCATTCATTTAGGAATGTTACAAGAAAGAAAATAAACTCTAATTTTTCTATTTTTCTTCTTCAATTTTTGTTTGCAACGATATGTGATATAAGCATAAATCTAGAATCTAGCCCCTCTGCCCCCCTCAAAAAGAGGTTCATTTTTTCTTGACTTGAAAACTGAATGTAAAAGAATGTGAAATGTATGCAATTAGTCACTTCTGCCTGTTTAGTGGACTATTCGGGCCCCAGATGGAAAGAAGCATGATTCCTCCATGCTTTGCTATCTACAGTCACATCAGAGCGAGGCGAGTCTTCAGGGCTGGTGGTTTCACAGAAAGAAGCAAACAATTTATTTTTAATTTTTGTTCATTACAAGGAGGGATCTTTTATTTTCTGTAATAAGACAAAGAGTAATGTTTTCATAACACAATTGAGTGTTTATGTACATGGCATATTAAAAATACTACTAAATTAAATTTTATCAATTCTCTCAGTTCTGTGAGTTTATTACAGTTCCTTGGATGAAGCACTTGGTAGGCAGAGTTACTCGAGTACTAATAGATTACATGGATTATGTTCCTCTGTGTGCTAAACTGAAGTCTGCACTAGAAGTACAGAGAGAATGGCCAGAAATCCGTCAAATACTAGGTAAAAACCAGAAGTTTTGCCTACAGTTTTTAAATTAAGAACATATATGGGGGAAGTTCTTAATCTCTTCTTTGATATTTTTTCTATGCTACTCTACTACATTTCCAGAATTATCTGGGTTTTAAAATCATCCTTAACACTTCCTCTGTGGTAAGATACATATTTTCATTTTTCTTTATATTTTCCAACTTTGTAATTGTATAATGAGTAACAAAATAGCTATATTAACATTCTGATTACAATTCATTTTTAAAATTAACTTCCATAATATCACACAATATGTAGACTGCAAGCTCCATGTGGGTAGGGATCTGCTTTGTTTCTCGTTATATTCGCAAGGCTTAGCATAAGGCCTAGTAAGTACAGTTCAATAAATAGGGAGTAAATGAATGAACAAAAAGGATTAGAATTACTCTTTTTGACCTGCTTTCTCTGAGGTCTTTATTGACAAAATCCTACCATCAAAGGTTAGTATTTATAGACAGGCCATTTTTTCTTTTCTAGGTGAAAGTTTATCATGAAAATGAATCATACAAGTTTCAATGAATGTACATTTTAAAATAATTCAAATACAAATAGAAACCAGAAAAATATCATAGATTTGAGATGGTTTCACTTACAAAATAAGAGTTTGGAAAAATAAGCTTTCAAAACCTAGTTGGACATCAATTTCACAAAGCCTAAAGAATTATACAACTTTATATGACATTTAAGTCATTTGACATTCTTAATATACCTGAATCAGACTTTCTGTGGAATTAGTTCTATAACAGAAGAGACTCTGAGGCAATCAAAACAGGAAACTTGGAGAATCTGATGAGTAATATAGTATTGTTAGCCTAGAAACTGAGCTCTGGGGTCAGATAGACCTAGAATGAGATGAAATTCTGGCCTTGCCTAGAAGTAGGATTGCTAGATTATAAAGCACAGTGTAATTCAGGACTGATGTTTTCATGAAAAAGGGCAACAATTTATTGTTACAATTTTTGTTTTTTTAAGTGAAGGAGGATTTTTTTATTTCCTATAAAAAGACCAAGATAGCCATTCTAGTTGTGTGACTTTGAGCAAATTACTTATTCTTTTTATGTCTAGGTTTTCCCATTGCAAAGTAGATGTAGGATAGTATTAACTTTATAAAGTTGTAGTGAGACTATAAAGAAATAATGCATATGAGGTGCTTAGTGTCTAGAACATTTAAATTATATAATAAATTTGGTTTTAAAACTAAAGTATTAACATTTTTATGTTTTTATTGCATGGTAAGTTTATGTGAGATACCTGAAATGTATATGTAAAGTGTGCTATGAAATATTGTAGAGTTAAATAGTATCATGCCTATTTTTTACAAAGAAAAAGCTAAGGCTAAAAGAGATTACAAAATAGTATAGACCCTATGCATTCTTGAAAACCACCTCTCAAAGTTCCCTTCCTGAACTTAAAGCCTGCATTGAGAGCAAAATCAAAAATTGATCAGGACAGAAACAAGAAAGGACCCACAAAAAAGAGGGGGCGGCAAACAGAGCCAAGAAACCTCAGAAATCTAAGCACCATATTTTGGGTCATTGCAAGAAAATACTAGAGAAAGAAGCTCTGTAAAGTTAAAAGAGCTATCTGGAACCAAGCATCCTTCTAAAAATTCAAGAAAACTAAATGCAAACAAAAATGAGCAACAGAAAATATCACAGTCAAATCCCATAATAGTAAGAAAAAAATAGAACAGATTAATATCCCCACAAACAATGAATACGTAACAGAAAAATTACACTGTCAGAACAATCAAAATTCAAACCTCTATTTCAAAATAAGCCAAAAAGCATGAGGAAAATAATATAAGATATGGAAGAATAACATGAGTCAAAAATTTGAAAAATTTAGAAACCAGATAACAACTGAGGAAAGAATTAGGAATAAAAATTAGAAAAAAATTAATTTCAAATGTGAAGACTGAACAACTGGCAACACAGTTGACAATACATTGAGAGACAGAAAAGAGGCTATGGAAGAAAATTTTTAAATCAAATATAAATGAAGAAATAGATAAAAGGATTTTTAAGTGTATATATTTGTTCATTTCAATAGGTTTTGGGGAAACAGGTGGTGTTTGGTTACATGGATAAGTTGTTTGGTGGTGATTTCTGAGATTCTGGTGCACCCATCACCTAAGCAATGTACACTGTAGCCAATGTGGACTCTTTTATACCTGGCCCATCTTCCGCCCAAGCCCTCAAAGTCCATTGTATTATTCTTATGCCTTTGCATCCCTGTAGCTTAGATTTTTAAAAAAATTTGAAAGTTAAAAACATTGAAAACACACAATGAATAGTCAATATATGGATAATAGGACTCCTTAAAAAGGAAAACCAAATCAAGGGAACATAACAAATACAAAAACTTAGGCTTCAAGAAAAACCTTCTCTAATAAAAAAGAAAGATTTGAAACTATAATGTACAAAATACTATATCCTTTGGGCATGTAGACAAAAAGAATAGGTGACATATAAGAGGAAAAATGGATTATTATTAAGCTTTTTATCAACAATACTTCATGCCAAAAGAAAATGGAGTAACATATTTAAGGATCTCCACGGAAGGAAAACGTGAGCTACGGATGCTTACGTGTCAAAATTGACTTCCAATGATCAATGCAGACAAACTGCTGTCAGCATGCAAGAACTCAGGAAATATTGTTCCTCTTACTGACGTCTGAAGGGTCCACTAAAAAATGACCTTTAGACAACCCAAAATGTTTAGAGAGGTATCAATGTGAGGACTAGTATTAACAAGACTAGCATTAATCAGAATGCCAAGACTAAGTGAGAGTTAAAAGGGAGGAGATGCAATATGTAATGGTTATATGCTCTGATGAAATAGATAACAGCACAATTATTTATTTTTAAATATGAGTAAACAGATAAATAATATTTAATAAATTAAAACACATATTTTAAAATATCTTAAAATATTGATGGTGATATATTAATATTGTGCTGAGAATGATATATTCAGTAAATGAGTTATTAAGGAATATTTCCATTCCATTATTCCTTGTATCCTTGAAGCCAAGGATTGCCAGTGTGGCAGAAAAAAAAATACAAATGTAACAGAGAAGAGATTAAAGAAAAATCCTGTAGTCCTGAATTTGAATTAGAAGTAACAATATAAACTCATAAGCTGTTTTATCTTGAAAGTGTGTGTGTGTACATGTGGACTGTGCTGTGTGTGTGTGTGTGTGTGTGTGTGTTTGTGTGTCTGTTTACAGATGAGGCTTAGGAATAATGATAAACCCAGTAGTAATGAGCATTCCTACGTCACAGATTTTGGCCTGGAAATGCCATTTCCTACAAAAGAAACCAGGGTTTTTGCTGGAGGTTGTTTTGTTTTGTTTTTGAAAAATGGATGATTGCATCTGGAGAAGGAAATGAACAAGATGAACCTGGAACATCTGGTCATACCAGAAAGCAAAGAAACTCTTAAAAACTACATAATTCATGACAAAAGAATTCAGGGGCCAACTTGAAGAGGTTCCAACTGGCCAAAGATGAGACAATTTAAGTTTCAAAAAGGGTAATTATTTCAATGAATTGAAACCTATCTTGAAACATACGATTTGTGGGTTTTTTTTTTCTTTTTTACTTTCTTATTCCTTCAACTTGTATTTTAAGTTCACGGGTACAGATGCAGAATGTGCAGGTTTGTGACATAGGTAAACATGTACCATGGTAATTTGCTGCACAGATCATCCCATCACCTTGGTATTAAGTCCAGCATCCATTAGTTATTCTTCCAGATGCTCAAACTCCCCCCAGTCCCAACAGGCCCCACTGTGTGTTGTTCCCCTCCATGTGTTCATGTGTCATCATTCAGTTCCCACTTGTAAGTGAGAACATGCGGTGTTTGGTTTTCTGTTCCTGCACTAGTTTGCTGAGGAAATGGTTTCCAACTCCATCCGTGTCCCTGCAAAGGACGTATCTCAATCCTTTTTATAGCTGCACAGTATTCCATCATGTATATGTACCAATTTGTTTTTATCCAATCTATCACTGATGGGTATTTAGGTTGTTGATTCCATGTCTTTGCTATTGTTAATAGTGCTTCAATGAAAATACATGTGCATGTATCTTTATAATAGAATTATTTATTAAATATACAATTTTTAAAAAAACTGATCAGCTTCATAAGATAATAGAAAATCAACTCATTATCTTAAAAATTGATAAAAAAGAGGTAAGCATTTATTCTGCTTTACATATATATGTATATAAAATATATGCATATATATACATATATGCATATATGTGTGTGTGTGTGTGTGTGTGTGTGTGTATATATATATATATATATAATCTGTGACATTAGTAACTAAAGAGTAAATGAACAATAGCATCCCTTTATAAAAGTATTCTAAAAATGAAAAAGATATTATATCACCAATTTATTGCTCCCAATAAATTAATAGATGTAGTCAATGAGCATCAACAGCTGCTAATATGTAGCCCCCAAAGAATGAACCCAGAATCAGCTTTGTTTTGCCAAAGAGATCAGACCCGAGCCTGATCAAGTCTCTGGACCAAGTTATCAGTTTGCAAGAAATACAGAAGACAGTGGGACATGGAACTGCACCATGAAAATGCAATCAGCAGAGTTCAGGCTGTGGGAAACTACAGGGCATTTGGGTTCTTCAAAGATTAATTCAAAAGACAAGAGGGGGATGGAGAGAATAACCTGCAGATTATTAGAAACTTAAAGGAAATAGCAAAAATTTAAAAAATATATTGTCAATACTGTAGTGCAGGGATAGTGAACTTACATGATGAAACTCTGAAGAAACTGATTACAAGTCAGAATAGTAGTTATTTATGGCAGGGGAAAGAAAGAAAGATAGAAGAATTATAGATGAATTTCTTGGTTGTCTGACAAAGTTCTATGTCCTATAGACCTAGGAGGTGATTAAAGATGTTCAGCTAATAATTACTTATATAACATGAAACTATACATATGTACTTTATTTTGCAATAAAGAGTAAACTCTAAAAAAACCTTATTTTTTAGCTTGGTGACTGCAAGGGGGAGAAAAACGCTGAGGCTTAGATAAATTAATTTCTCAAAGTAATAGACATAGAAAACAACAAAGTAAAGATTTGAATCCTTGTTTGTCTTACTTGAAAAAACACAGACTCTTTCTATAATACCATTGTACTTCCTGTCATAGAATAGATTTTGCTTCTAAGGGGAAATTAATTGCTCACTTTTTTTTTTTTTTGCAAAATAATTACCAATTCTGATGACTTTGGAAAGACACTTCAAGTAAGAATAATGCCAGGAAGTTTTATTTATTTATTTATTTATTTATTTTTTTTTTAATTGTTTCTGGCATACATTATTGCAACTGGGGTAGAAGCCAGTTGATTGCTATGAGTGTGATTAACCACTGGATGTCAGGAGTCCTCCAGCTATCTATAAGGCAGCATATTTGTTAGGAAAAAAAATTGCATTTTTTTAGGTGGATTTTTTTTTTCTCCTTATTTTGGTAATAATGTTGCATCAATAATTTTTGAGAACATTGTTTTTAATTTAAAAAAGATAAATTATTGATATCATCAAATGTAATATGGATGTGATCATGTTTATTATTGCACTGAATGATAGTTAATATTTATTGAATGGTTACAATGTACCAGGCACTTTTCTAATACTTTACATGATTTGTTTAATCTTCAAACAACTGTATGAGATAAATACTGTTGTTATCCTTATTTCACAGATGAGAATACTAAACTCGCAGACATTAAGCGATTTGCCCAAGGTCACACAAAATGAGAGGCAGAGCTAGTTTAGTCCAAGCTGATGTGGCCCAGAGCCACATCTAAGCCTGAATGCTATGCTGCTCCTTCATTTGTTCATATTGCTGCTATAAAATATCAATCTTGCAATTATAATATAGACAAAGTAAGAATTGAAAATATCATCAGATATTTAAATAATTTTAGTATATTTTTGAGAATATACAAGGTTTAAGTATCAGACTCTGGAAACAAACTCCAGGCTGGATTATTCATGATAAATGGAATCATCTGCATCAATGTTTCATGGATAATTATTTATCAGACAGATTGGTAGGAGAAAGAAAGTAAAGAAATATACAATACTTAGCTCTAAAAAAATAAAGAAGAGATGTGGGCATTTGCTTTCTTAAGTCCATGTATTCATTCCACAAATTCTAGCTGAATACCTACTATGAGCCAGGCTCCCTTCCTGGCACAGACACCGACTAAATTTCTGTCCTCATGGAGCTGACATTCTAAAGGAGTAGACTGGAATATTCAATTACAATTTGAATTTCTCTTAAAATCACCAGTTGCTAAAGTGTGCATGCATGTTTTTCAGAATACGCTATTCATGTTATTTTGAAATAGTCATATCTTAGAGGTCAATCCACTATTTTAAAAAAAATTTTGCTTATTTTCCCCATATCTTTTAGAGAATCCTTGTTCATTGAAGCATTTGTGTCGGTTAAAAATTCGAAGACTTATGGGACTCCAGAGACTCTGCCAGCCAGCCTCAATGGAGAAGCTTCCTCTACCACCAGCTATTCAAAGATACATATTATTTAAAGAGTATGATCTCTATGGACAAGAGCTAAAGTTGCCATAATATTTTAAAATGTGATTTTAAAAAATATTTTGAAATGTGATTCCCTCAGATAATTTCTTGGAACCATTTTACATCCTTAATTGTAAAGTGTATTTAAATTTGTTGACAATTTTATAGGTGGATCATGTGTTCCTATGGGGAACACCATGATCTGTGTCTTTAAAGACATTTACATTTTTTAAAGATAGTATTTTCAACTTAGATTTGTATCTTTGTCTTCAGACTCTCCCTATCAAGTGGCTCCTGCAATATCCACAATCAAGTCTCTATGACAGATAACCACTTTCTCAAACCCACATCTCCTTCCAGTCGCTGACCTGATTCTCCTGTCTTTCAAGGTCTTGCTGTGTAAAAGAGCTCCTCCTGCCTTAAGTTCACACATTGTGATCTGGCATCTGCCCCTATACTGCTTTTCTCAAGGTCCCTGACAATCTCTTTGTTGCTAAATCCAGTGAACATTCTTCAGTCCCTCTTCCAGTTGATTCCTGCAGCATCCGACATTGTTGCCTGTTTCCTCCCTGAAATGATACCTCTTTCCCTGTTTCTTACAAAACCTTGATCTCTTGGGTGTCCTCCCATCTTCCTGGACGCTCTGTCTCTGGCTTTTTTCTGCCTAGCACATCTCTAGCGAATCTTTTAGTCTCATATCTTAAGCCCTTTTTGCTTTTGCTTTGTTCTTTATGTTTTGTATCCTAAACCTCTTTGCTTTGTTCTCTGGGAAGTTTTATCCACATCCATGGTCTTAATCATTTTGCTAGAGACTACAAAATTTCTATCCAAAACTCAGCTCTTTCTCTCATGTGCTTCCGACCTATGTAGACAATTGGCCTAATGAACATTTGAACACAAAGACAGACATGTCCCCAGATGAACTCACTACCTTACTCCACAAAAAAAAAAAAAAGCTATTTCTCCTTCATTCTCTAGCTCAATAGTTAGTACAATGCTCAATTCAGTTTCTGAAGAAAAAAGGCTGGACATCAGACTTCACCATCCCATTTCCTCACCCAATAAGACAAATCACCAAATCCTATTAAGTTCATCTCCTGAAGTCATCCTCCACTCAGCCCTCCTGCCCCCTGATTTGGCCATAAGTCTATTACCTTCTTTTTCCTGGGTTAATACAATGCTGCTTATCTGACTCCCCTGCCTCTGACTTGCCCTGTCCCAAACACTGCCTACATACAGCCTCTCAGAATAGTCTTTTACAAATATAATAGAGTTTCACTTCTCTGCTTAAGATCATTCCCATTGCTCTTAGGTTAGAGTCCAAAGTTCTTACTTGAACTTTCATAATCTAACTCCTGCCTTTTTCTTTAGTGTCATCTCTGGATGTCTCCCTTTCTTCCCTTCCCTTGAACCTTCTAGAATTTTATTTCTTAAAAGTGATTCCCAAACTTTAAGGTGTCATATACCAATAGGTTTTGTTGTGTTAATTTTTTAAAAAGACTGTTTAAAATATACCATCTACTATCGCCATCATTTCATAAAAGAGGGTCATTTTAATGGCAGAAAATAAGATGGTTATAAATTCAGTTATTCAAGTTGAATGACTTTTGCTTCAACTTGAAGACCTCACACTGTTCTCATTTCCCCACTGATGAGTGAGAATTTCACTGTGGGCCATCAAATATCTGAGGACCTTTGTATGGGGAATCACTGCTGCAGAATAGACCATGCTCTCTTTGAACCTCAGGGTCTTTGTTTTTCCTTCTCTCACCCGGAACTCTCTTTCCACTTTTCTTCACCCTTTCACCTGATCAACTCCCACTTACTCCATAGATCTGAGCTGAGATGTAGCTTCCTCTAGGATGGGAAGCCCCAGCACGGAACTTGTCATGCTATATTATAGGCGCCTGTGTTCCCTGCTGTCTTCCCACTAGACTGTAAGCTCTACGATGCCAGGTTCTGTGTTTGTCTTGTTTTCCAGTGCTTTCTCAGGGCCAAACACATTCCCTAGAGCACAGAGTTCAATAAATATTTGTTGAAATATGTTGAATAAGTGACAAAAATAATCAGTGACCTCATGGTGAAATAATAGCTTTAAATTTCTGAGTGAGTTATGTCATCTTGATAATGTAATTATTTATGTTATTATTTTTAGATTTTAATAGTGTATTTTTCTTATATTTATTTTTATCTTATTACTGTATTCTTTCAACAGTAATATCTCACTGCTCTGTAAAGTTTTCAAGTTATATTTAGCTTTAGTTACCTTTGAAAGATAAATAGGTATGAAAAAAAACCCTGTAAAATTAGGGCTATAATTTAATTTCTTATATTCCCTAGAGGATATGTTTTATACATAAGTTAAACTGTAATATGTTTATCTTTAATTGTAACATTCTGTATACAGGATTTTATGATTCTTGTGTTGCACTCTTAGATGTGGTTAAAATGTATTGTCATCTAAATATATTGTTCTAATAAATAAAAAATCATATTGTGGTTATAAGTCTGCTTTATGATACTTCATATATTAGACTTCTGCTTACTAAAGCTTTGACATTTTCTTTGATATATGTTTATGTAGATAATATTCAAGAAATACTTCGATATAAACATATGAATTAACTGCACATGCTGTGGGTTTTTAAAAGCGTTTTTTTTTTTGGCATTTGTAAAGCAAGGGAAAAATGTATCTTATGAAAAAGAAGCAATTGCTGTATCTAAATCAAATTTGGTCTTTTACTCACCACATTTTGGGCTTTTCTAGCAGTGTTTTTGTTTTTGAGATGGCTGGATGGAAAAAGGAATTAATTTCCATCTCATGAGGACTCTGTTTCTTCTAGAGTATGTCACTCTATCCGGGAAAGGGAACAGCTGCTCCTTCCCAGTCAGCACTGGGAGAAGCCAAACATTCTACAGTGGAGCCTGTCTAACCACTGTGGAATCAACATGGCAGAGTCTGGATGTCATCTTCCCCCATGCTGCCAAGATGTCTGTGCCTGTTTTAGTCCCTGTGGATTTTGTTTCGTATCACACAGAGAGTCTGGGTGGAAAAAAGCAGATCTGAACTCTCATTAAGTGTGTTTTGTTTATTTTTCCATAGGCCATCATTAAATAGGATCTCCATTTCCAGCTAAAGATAATTTTAAGAAGGACACTGAAACCAGGTGCCTCCTGAAGAATATGGTTTAATCATTTTAACTAGTCACAGAACATGTTTCCTGGTATTAGGATGTCAATACAGAAGATATGAAAATGATTATATCAATGTGCAGCAAATATTCATAGGCAACACCACCTTTAATGCAGGCTTTTGAACAACCAGAGCATGGAAACTCTAACAAGGTGGAGGATCTTATGACCCAGAGAACATACATAGCCTTTCTATTGTCATTGACCTTTTACCAGAAATAACTAAGCAAATTTTGGTTTCAAGTCGCATACTCTTATGTATATAACCACCTTCCAGTCAGAAATTACTTAGGAATATAAAAATTATAAGCTGCTTCAGCAACATGAACGCAGCTGGAGGCCATAACCCTACAAGAATTAATGCAGGAATAGAAACCAACTACCACATGTTCTTACCTATAAGTGGAAGCTAAACATTGAGTATACATGGGCATAAAGATGGGAACAATCGATACTGTGGACGACTAGAGGGAGAAGGGAGGAGGGCAGAAGTGGGGGAGGAGGGAGTAGCAGGGAGGAGGGAGGATGGGGGAGGGGATGAGGGTAAGGGGGGAAGGGAGAAAGGGGGAGGGGTGGGAATAGGGCAGAATGGGGAAGGGAGAGGAGGTGAAGGGCAGAAGTGGGGAGGGAGAGGGGGAAGGGGAAAGGCAGCAGTGGGGAGGAGGAGGGCAGAAGTGTGGGGGGAGGGGAGGGCAGAAGTGGGGAGGGGTTGAAAAACTACCTAATGGGAACTATGCTTACCACTTGAGTGAAGGAATCCATATCCCAAACCTCAGCATCATGCAATACACCCATGTAATAAACCTTCACATGCACCCCTGTATCTAAAATAAATATTGAAATTATTTTTAAAAAATATAAGCTGCTTCAAGTGTTTTTATGAAACAAAATGCACATTATAGAAATATATGCACACAAGTACATGACATATACATATATACACATAAACAAACACACATGCATTGTAGTATGGCATTTATTGCAGTACTGTAGGTAATGCAGTGGGCAAGGACACATACTTTGTACTTAAATAGGTATGTTAAGTGGAATAAGCCAGGCACAGAAAGACATATCTCACTTATATGTAGAATCTAAAAAAAGCAAACTCACGGAAGCAGAAAGTAAAATGGTGGCCACCAGGAGCCGGGAGGTGAGGGGATTCAGGAGATGCTGGTCAAAGGATACACAATTTCAGGAGAAATAAGTTTGAGAAATTCATTGTACAACATGGTGACAATAATTAAAATAGTGCATTGTATATTTGAAAACCTCTAAGACAGTAGATTTTGTGTTCTCTTTACAAAAAAAGTGTGTGAGGTAATGAATATGTTAATTTGCTCAACGTAGCCATTTTATAATATATATATACACTTCAAAGCATCATGTTATATACTTTAAATACATACAATTGTTGTCAATTTGAAAAACAGAAAAGATACCAAAACAGGTATCAATTACTTTTACAGTGTGTTAAGTTTATATAGATAAATAGTATCATTAAAATATAAAATAAAAACAGACTCTGAATCATTTTGAACCAGGCTTTGCAAATTATTTGCTGGTTGGTTTTGGACAAGACATGAGCTGTCTAAAGTACTATATCCAATATAGAGTAAATGCACGTGAAACCTGATCTCTTACCACTATTACCACAGAGTGGCAGTGCGAATGTCAGAACTGCAAAAGTCAAGAACCTTGGTCTTATGGTACATGGCTGTAGACTGTCATTACATCTGAAAATACAAAAAAAAAAAAAATCGTTAGGAAT